TATCATTTTTTTTTGGGCAAATCAGTAAGTATGGTATATTTAATTTGTGCTAGTTAGAACGACGTTAAGAAAATCTTCGAATCCGATATTAATGACTCCATTTTGTTGAGTGTCCCGAACGCGGAACGCTTCAGTTAAACGTTGAATGGAAATGCATAATACAATGAATTCATCTACCGATACTTCTTTGTGATCGTTGCTTCGACTGGTCAGCTGCTTCGTAAAATTGGGCGAAAAATTGAATCCCATTTGTGAAAATGCTAGAAACGAAAGTGATTAAAATAGAAATGAAAGTGTTGAACTGTATTCAAGAATCATGAAGAAAATACATACCTTGATTTAATTCTTGGTCATCAATTAATCCAGAGCCATTGCGATCGTATGTCTTGAAAATGTTTAACCATTGATTTATGTATTCAAACATCTTACTAAATTGATGAATGTCAACCGCACCACCATTTGATGTGTCAAACATTGCTGAAGATTAAATGGAAATGATTTAATTTCAAATGTACATTATAATTTAACGGTATTTTTGTCTACTCACAAACCAAAAGGTGGCAACATCTATCCGAAAAATTTTGACCTTTGCCATTTTGTAAGGCTTTTTGTAATTCCTTTGCGGTTATTTTACCAGACCGATCAGTATCAACGGCATTAAACATGCGCTCAACATCTGGCGATACTCCTGGAGTGCCTATTCAATTGTTATGGATTTTATCAGCGTCACAGTTTTCAAAACGTGCTTTTTTTGTCAATTACCTGGTGTTTGCGGTGGAGCGTAGCCACCATACTGGCCGGGTTGATTTGGATTATAGCCAGGATAACCACCTTGTTGTGCTGGGTAGCCACCTTGTTGAGGATACCCACCACCTTGCTGTGGATGCTGTGGATAACCGCCACCTTGTGTTGGATAACCGCCGCCCTGTGTTGGATAGCCGCCCTTCAATTAAAAAAAAAAAGAAAGAAAAAAATTGGTCACATGTATTTCTATTACGTAGCCAAAATGTCGCAACCACAAGTAAAGCATTAGCATAGCTATTAAACAATTAGCATACGTATATTACTGTTCTTTTTTCTGTGCGCGATAAAACAGAATAGTTGCTTCACTTGAATGATTCACACAACAATCGTATTCATTATTCTCATTACTGCAGTAAAAGCAATGCGTCACCGGATTTTTTTTTTGTTTCGATCGAGTGATTGGCAAAGATTTTGGACCAAAAGTAAAATGATTGAAGGTCAAAATCACTACCGCCTCCATATTTTTAATATTTCGGAAATGTTTGGTTATTCTGACAACATTTTAATACTGTTTCATATTTTTCGATCTCAAATTGTACCACTTACCGGATATGACATGCTTGATGTTTTTTTTGGATTTGTTGCAGGAAATTAAATTATAAAAATAGAAAAGAAGACAAAAATGATTTCTAAAATATTAAATACGATACTGAATGATCCAGTTTGAAACTAATACTGGAATGTTCGAATGTATTCGACTTGGTAAGCAGTTAAGCAAGCGTCGAACAAACATAAATTGATGATGTCACAACAATTCTTATATGACATTTTACGATTCGGTGTAAAGCAATGCCAGTGTGTTGGTATGCAACTTTTTTTGACATTTGAAAAGTATTGGATGACAAAACCTTCTTATCGACATACTTTATTTGGTCGTGAAAAGTCGGTAACGCCGATTCGGTGTCGCTTTCAAAAAAAAAGTTCCCGAATGTAGGCAAACAGATTTGCATGAAATTTACTCCCTTGATTCAGCTTATTTTGATTTAGTTGGGTTTATTATCCGATCTATTACCAGAAATGACCTAAATAGTGAGCAAAAATATTACATAAATTGATAAAAAAAATCTTAAATTAATCTTTTGTTTGTTGAATTTATTTTAAATATTTCGAATTTAAAGGAAACTTATTATGTGTGAACAAATCATGAATTTGTGTTTTATTTAAATTTTCGTTTTTATTTAAAAATGGTTGATATAAATTCATTTGACTTAATAGGCGCGCGTTAAAATGTCATAAATTCATGTGAATACGCCAATTGAAAAATTGCTTGCCAATTAATAAAATCATAAAATTCTATGACGGCAATAAAAGAATGGTCAGACTTCAATTAAGTACTTTTTTTGATTAAAAAAAATATATATAACCGCATAAGACAATTCTTATAATTAATAACAAAGACAAAGCAAAAAAAAAGAACTTTCCTTGAAACGATGACGCTAATTCGTATAATTCCTTGGTCAAAAACAGGCGTGCCATTATTGCTTATCTATGATTTCTGAACTGAATAATCAAAACAAAATGAAATCTGAAGTAATCCAAAAATATCGTGCGATATCTTCACTTATTTCTGTTGAATGAAAAAAGTGTTGTTTTTGTCTGAAAATGGATAAAACAAAGCATTTTTAATGAAGCGGTAAATCAAACACATTTGCGTACGTGCTCTTCATTTTTCACGGTCAAGGATAGAGCTGTGATTTGTATGCAATGGTGGCACAATTCACACAATCTACAGCCATATTCTTCTTAGACAAAATCTGCGATTCTCGATTGATTTTTCAGCGTCATATGGCCTACATATGCAAACTTTTTTTGCCCCTGACATGCGATAATGACGGTACACGAAAACAAATATATAATTAATCATTTCAATTGTAAATAACATAAGATAATAGTGCAAAATTTGCTATACAAATTGACGAGCTGATTTAATATCTTCTCAGTTTGTCCGAAAAATTTGATGCAAAAAAAAAAACACATATGTAAAACAAGTTTTACGTTCCCACGATTTTGATTTGAGGATTTTGCTTTTGCGGCATTTCGTCATTTCGTCAAACTCGAAATTGTTTAGCAAAATAATTAAATTGTAAATTTAGATAATCAATTAGCGACACATATGTTTATTACTTCACTGAGCCCTGTCAAACAATGGCAACGAATCTTGACCGCTGAAGAAAATAAAGAAACGTATTGTTTGATGGTACTGTTTTCTTTGCCGATGCCTCACTTCTATTCCTCTCTTTGTCTCTCTCGCCTATTTCAAACTAAATAATTGCACACGAGATAACCATTGCTGAAAATAAATAGTAAATGTTATGCAACAACACCCGACAATGTCTAGAAATGGCTTGTTTTCAAGTCGATGTACGACATTTCATTCATTCATTCATTCGCGTTCATTGTTTATTTGCGATGCTTCTCGTCGCGCTCTGCACATTTGCAACAATAATGAACGCTAGTGGCTGTTAACTGTTTTGATTTTTATTTAGCCTAAAACGAAGAGGGAGAGAGAGAGAGAGAGAGAGAGAGAGAGAGAGAGAGAGAGAGAGAGAG